AACTAAAGAAAGCTAAGTCCTTCTGATGCTTGCTAAGGAAATTAAAGATGTAAAAGAAACACCTACAAATTATAATAAATAAAAAATACGACTAAACAAAGTTTTTTTGAAAAGAGTTGCTTGAAGAATTGAGGGAGGGGGAGAAACCAAGAAGCCAAAAAACAAAAAAAAAATGTGGGAAAGGTAGATGGGTGCAACTTTAGGTGCGATGAAGTTGTTCTAAGTTGTGACGGAGATGTTTTGAGGTGCGATGAAGGTGTTCTAAAGTGCGATTTAAGTGTTTTGAGGTGCAATGACGATGAAGGAAAGTGTTATTTAGCTAACCAAAATGTGATGATATTAAAGGAAGGTGTGGCTTTGAAGTTTTGGACTGTGACAAAGTTGAAAGAAGATGTAATTTTGATGTTCTAAATTGCGATGGTGATGAAAGAATGTGTGATTTTGATGTTCTAGGTTACGATGGGATGAAAGAATGTATAATTTTGATGTTTTAGGTTACGATGGTGATGAAATAATGTATGATTTTGATGTTCTGGGTTGTGATAGTGATGAAAGAAAGTGTGATTTTGATGTTCTAGGTTACGATGGCGACGAAAGAAGGTGCGATTTTGATGTTTTAAGTTGCAATGGTAATGGAAAAAATGCGATTTTGATGTTTTGATTTGTGATGGTGATGAAAGAAAGTGTGATTTTGATGTTTTGAGTTGCGATGGTAATGAAAGAAAGTGTGATTTGGCTAATGGAGGTGCGATGAGGTTAAAGTGCGATTTCAAACTATTAGGGAGATTTGCTATGCTAAGATGCAATTTCAACTCACTATGCATTGTTGAAACACAATTTCAGATTGCTAGAAAAGGTTTATCATGCCAAACCTCTCTGAGACCCTTACTTCAAATCACATTCCAACATTCTTTAAACTTTAAGTCTTAACAGTGCACAACAACTAGGTGCACAATTGAGCCCAAATGACTCTTGGTAAAAGTCCTAATTGCAAATTCCCAATGGATTCACCAGCTATAAGCGTCAGAAAGCTCATGGCTAGATCAAAAAGATGAAATCACCACCCATCTTTTTAGAGAAAATGGGTTCCCATTTTCATCTTTGAAAATTGATTTTATTATCTTGATAGTGATTATGTTTTCCTCGGGAAAAGGGCACACAAATAAGGGATTTTGGATCCCAAGGATTGGGAGAGGGAAGGTGTTTGGCACTCGTCTCTCCAAGCTACTGTAGCATCCCAATACGAGAGTTGTTTAGGCTTAATTTATGGCAAAGAACCAATGAAAATGGTTGTCAGAATTTCTAAAATCTAGAGAAAAATGCTCCCAACTTCTCTTGAGACTGATTTCGATGTAATGTTATCAAGCTTTAGGGTACTAGTTTCCCTAAGACTCTCGCTTCTTTGCCTATTTTCTCAGTCCAAAAGAAGTTGAGAACAATGGTTCTCCATGGTCTTTGAGCTTCAAATAACCCAAAAGCCGAACTAAGAAAAAAAAAGGGACTTTGAATCTAAGCAAATAAGAGAGTGAGAGGCTTACCTCTCGTGTGTGTGTGTGTGTTTGACCTTGAAGAAATAGGGAGTTTGAAGTCTAAGGTTCAAAATGCTTGGAGTTTTCTCACGAATGTAAGCTTTGTAGAGGTTGTGAATACTTCTGAGGAGTTTGACTTACGGTTTATTAATTGACGAGAAGGCCCAAAATGAAATCTTACTTTTTAATGGTCAAATTGAGGAATTTGATCGTAAAACTTGGCATATTGGGTTTTTTGGGTTTTTGAACAAAGTGGTGAAATCTGATTGTTAAATAGGATTGGTATGATAGAGATCTATGGCCGACATGTTTGGATTAATGAGATATGCTAAAACAGAATCATAACTTGATGAAAGGTAAAATGAGGGAATTTTTGGGTGGAATTAGGTGCCTAAGCATTATTGGATATTCAAAATTAGATGGAAGTGATTGATCTTTGATTAGGTATGCGAATTAAAAGATTTGGTTCAGATCAAGATTTTAGCTTACGACTCACTAACTGATGAGGTCGTCTAAAATGGGATCTTTCTTGTTTTGGGGGAAAATGAGTAATTTAAGTCCAAATATAATGGGTGGTTTATTTTGAGGATTTTGGTCTTGGAATATGATTTTTTTGTGGTTCAATTATAAATATCAATTTAGAATCTTTATTGATAAGATGTTTAAACAAGGGAATTTTGAGTTGAGATTTGATGCGTGAGTGTAGATTAAGGTGAGGAGTCAAGAGAATGGTTTTGATTTAAGAAAGAAATGATTGATCTTGGTATTTGAGTTCTAGCCATTTAGGGTTGTCGAAATAGAATCTTAGTATTTTTAAGGTTGATCGTTATAGATTTGTGATGGGATTTGCTAGTTGATTGTATCGTAGTGATCTTAAGGTGATGAATGTGTTGGATTTGATTTTGGGGAGTCGAAGTTTGAATATCGCATACCCAAAAAATAATAATAGGGGCAATTGTAATATGTTGGATAATCCTTATCCTTCCCCAAAATGAGATGCGTGTTTTTTTCCTCCAAAAAAGAAGAAAGTAAGCTTGGATTTAATGTTATTGATGTTTTTGTGGGACTGAATTCCCCTACCATATCCATGTGTATCATAATCATTCTATCATATCCATGCATTTCCCAAGTATATCCTGTGTATTCTAAAGTTGTCTCTTTATAATAGTTATAGTGATATTGTTGCTCGGAGCTTTGCCTAAGAATCTTAAGACTAATCAATGTGCAACTTTAAAAGTTTTTACATCTTTGTATAGGTCCCAATTTTAACTATTGATCCCAATGACAACAAGCTATAGCAATTTGTATGAATATTGAATTGGAATGCCACATACTTGTTTGTATCCTTTAAGCTAATGTGGGTTTCATTTGATTTTCCATGAATTGGGCATCCCTGTCATTGAACCATGCCAACTAAACATGTTCATCGGCCAAGTAGCCTGATGGCCCGGCCCGGCCCGGTTGCGGTTGGGCTTGGACATATTATTAGGTTTGTGGGCCCAGGCTCAGGATTTCACATAAAAGCCTAGCCCGACAATATTATACACATTATTTTCCTAAATTTTTAACCCTAGTTTTTTTCATTCGATAGTCTCCCTCCCTCAACTTGTTTTTTGTTCGAACTTGGAAGAACTTGGAAGGTTTATTCTCTTCCAACATCCCCATTCTTAATTCTAGTTTACTTTTTATTACATAGGTGTTTAGAGGGCTGGGCTCAAGCCTAAGATCTAGGCCCGATGGTCAGGTTGGACTTGGGCTCGTGCCTGAATATATTATGTTGATAACAGGTGAAAGCACAACCCAAGCCTGATCCAATTCGGCTCAACCCATGAACAGATCTAATGCCAATTGAGTGGTGGTTTGGTTGGCACATTAGTTGAGTAGTTCCAACGTAAATGCGGATTCAATCCCGCTATTACCACCTATGTTGAAAAGTTGTAAGTGTATTGTGTTAAGTACCAAAAAAAACCATTGGTCCAATGGTAGTTAGATAATTTTGTAGTTGATATCAATCCAACGTTCTCTTGCACAAAGAAAGCACATCAAGATTAACTTTCACTTTTTTAGAGAAAAGTCACGCTCTTATTGTTCATCTTATATCCATCCATGATGAGCTTGCTAATTGACTAGCATCCATCCACAAATTTATTTCTTCTTTCATGTGGCAAGTTGAAGTGATCTCCCCACTCTCAATTTCGGGGGTGTTAGGAGAAAGGGTTACATATACATAACTATTTGGGACAAAATATGAAGTTACAATAAAACACCTCAACAAAGTTCTTTAGGCGGTGTTTGGTATGGCTTCAGTTTATTTGATAAACGGTGTCATGTCATCACCAAATTAGTATTTGTCCCATCATGCTATTTCGTATTCATAGTTATTGATTAATTATTGTCTTGATTCACGTGCAAGCCAACTATTGGGGGAAGCTTCATTTTACTATTCCATTGATGTGGCACTTAATGGCGTGCCTAGTTGCGTCTAATTGTCAACAAATCCCCCCCCCAAAAAAAAACATTTATCAAACCACTTTTTCTCGGTTTTGAAGACAAATCAAGTACAAACGTTTATTTAATAAACGGAAGTCATGCCAAACATATACGTAGTCATAATTGTATTTATCTCTAATGGCTCCGTTTGGAAGGAGTACAAATACAAATATGTAGAATGCAAAACCTTATATTTTGTATTATTTTGTGTATATTTGTATTTATACTCTTTCCAAACTAAGCCTATATTTCAAATTCATAAGCCTTATATATTTACTATAAAATATATACATATGTATGCATACAAAAACTTAATAAACACATAAATGGCAACAAGTGATTGAATTGAGTAATGATTACACAACTGAAACCCTTTAACATTGTCATACAATAATAATCCTTTTGGCCAATTACCTCATATATTTATACAAAAACATGTGTAATAAAAAAGGAAAACCAGATATAATCTATCTACTTCTACTTTTCCTTTAAAATTAGTAGACCCCATGTATTTGTTTTGATGCATAATTTGTATAAAGAGAGAACTAACCCTTGTAATTGGTCTATAATTCTCTCGAGTCTACTCCTAAGTTCCAAGCTTGTTCAATGTCTAAGAATGTTTTCGTGGTTATATGCTACATATCTTTATACTGGCACAATTTACCCAATCTGCCCCTGCCGAAGTCAATAACCCCACTTGAACCACTGCTAGGGAGAACAAAAGCACATAAACCTATGGATGTATACACATATATAGAGCTGTTTATAACTTGGTTTACAATTCTCAGCTCAACTCTACTCCCAACCAAGTTACATCGGTGAGTTCAACATCTAGAAGCTTTCCTGGGCTAAATGCTACACATGTTTATATTGATAATATGCCCATTCAGCCCCTGCCAAAGTCAATAACCCCACTTGAATCACTACTAGGAAGAATAACAACACATGAACCTATGGATACACAGATGCATTAAGAGAAACCTTTGGATATAGTTTTTTGCTAACATGGCATGAGCCTATAAATGCTTGTAAATAGGCTCTCCCTAATCTCAGATCTCTCATCTCACTTTTCTTTAATTTTCCCCCTTCTATTGCCTCCATGAGTTGTTTTCCTCTACGCCAAGACATCTCAGTGTCCTTACCCAAACACCCCTTTTCTTTATATTTGCAATAAACCATGTGCCTGCCCCTCCTTCTCATGGGTATAAAATCCGAGCATCTGATTGTGGGATTCATGTATTCCTCTTCTGCTCCTCCTCCATTTCATCAGTTTTCATCCTTCCTCTTACTTCCGTTGAAAATAAGGCGACCCTGTTAATATTAGCGTCTATAGAACCATAGAAAAAGAGGAAAAACTGAAGCGTTTTTTGAGGGTTTTGGTCCCCTTTCTCTCTCTCTATCAATACCCTTGTCCGTGAGATTTCTCTGGGTTTCTGTGCTGGGTTTGAGCTCCTTTGACTTGAATCGGTGCCCGGAGAGAAGTTAATTCTTGGATTTTTGTAGAACGCTTTGGTTGCCCCCGAACGAGTATCTGGTATCTGTTTTTCCCCTTTTAGTTTCGATATCGTCTCCATCTATATTTCTGTGCCTTTTAATGGTTTATTGGTTTGAGTTGCTTGCTGTTTTTCTCTTCGAATAGTTTGAATCGGTGCCCAGAGAAAGGATTGCTTTTTTCTTTTGTTTTTCTTTTTTTTTTCCCTGGGTAGCAAAGAATCTATTTAATCCTGTATCATACCTTTGTCATTTTAATAGATTGTGACTTGGATTCCATGGGTTTCACTGCTTATGGGTAGTATTTTTTTACTATTTTTGCAGGAATATTTATTTATTTTTCTTCTTTCATCTGTGATTGGTGATTCATCAGGCGGCGTTTGAGATAATTTTTTTCTGCTTTGTAGATATAAATCTTTTTGCATATTTCTGGGTTCGATATATATGGGCTGATTTTGGGCATTTCATGGGAGGTGTAGAGGATGATGAACCGCCCTCAAAACGTGTGAAATTGTCCTCTGGAGAACTGAGGAGCCCTTTGAAGGAATCGTCTCTAGCGGAGCCCCTTTCCGGCTCTTTCAGAGACTCAATGGCTCGACCTCTACCTTCCCAAGGGGATGAACAGATGGTTGGTTCTAAAGGACTTATTGAACGAGGGGAATTTGTTAGGATTATAACCAAGGCGTTGTATTCCTTGGGTTATGAGAGGAGTGGGGCTCTTCTGGAGGAAGAGTCAGGGATACCCTTGCACTCCTCCATGGTAAATTTGTTTAGGCAGCAGTTACTTGATGGAAGTTGGGATGAAAGTGTGGATACATTGCATAAAATTGGTCTTGCTGATGAAGGTATTGTGAAGTCTGCATCCTTCTTGATATTCGAGCAGAAGCTCTTTGAACTTCTGGATAAGAAAAAAGTAATGGATGCTTTGAAGACGTTGAGGATGGAGATTGCTCCTCTTGGGATTAACAAGGATCGAGTGCACGAGCTTTCTACTTGCATTGTGTCTCCTTCACAGTCTGTGTTACTTGGATGCCCCAGTCAAGAGGTTGTGAGTGCAAAATCACGGATGAAGCTTCTGGAGAAATTGCAGAAGTTGCTTCCTCCTACAGTTATGATACCAGAACGAAGGTTGGAGCATCTAATTGAGCAGGCTCTTAATGTGCAACGTGAATCTTGTGTTTTTCACAATTCCCTAGACAGTGTACTGTCACTATACTCAGATCATCAGTGTGGAAAAGACCAAATCCCTTCAAGAACCCTACAGGTAAGAGCTTATGTATCAAATGCAAATCTATTACATTTAATTTTCTTGGTTTCTTGGTGATGCATAACATTCCATCTTAGCCTATTTTTTCTCATTAGTTTTGGTTTGATTGGTTGTACATAATGCTACTCTAGCAACTTTTGGGGAATCCATAATTATAAGAGTTCGAATTTCCTCACAGAATCCTCTTCACACCCACCTCACTGCGTGTTGCAGCGACACATGGGGAACACTGTACTTGTATGTTTTCATTCATGGGGAGATGTTCCCAATGCACGGCTGCAACTGCTGTGAGGTGGGTGTGAGGAGGAAACCTGGATTCCAATTACAATGATTAAGATTGTCAAAATGACCCAAGTTTTTTGTATATAATAGTCAACACATTAGTGGACACTACTTAATTTCATTCAGCATGGTCAGAGATGAATATGTTTTCAACTTAATGCAGATTTGTAGTTGTTTCTCAATGAAAATATGTGAACATATTTCTGTTAGGTATTGTTTAAAAATTTATATTATGACAACTACAACTTTCTTGGTCAAGGATTGGCAACTTATTGAGTTAATTTTTCTGATCTTTATTATTTATCAGTTTCTTGGGTCCCTGTAAAATTTATAAATAGAATGGAAAAAAAATCCTTAGAGTAATAGGGCCATGGAAAAAAATTTATAAAATTTAAAAATTCTCCTTTGCCCCACCTAGCCATGCCAATCTTGATGGTTAACTGTTATTAGAGTAATAGGGCCATGTATTATGGGTCTTTAAATGTTTGTATATTGGCCGTTCATTCCCACATTTTCCTCCATGTAGACTTTTGCACAAAAGCTCAGCAAGATGTAAGGTGTTGTCTCATGGGATTGGAAGCACTTTAAAGGACCTTTTAGCATTGATTTGAACTGCTCAATTGATCTTATGATTCCAGTGTGATCCCAACTTTTTCCAACCTAATGTAATGTAATGGGAAGTGGGTCCTTTTTTCATTTGGCTAGATCTATGCGATTGACCAAGCAGTATTTGATATCATTTAATGAAAGAACAAATCAAATGTTACTCTTTTCTAGAGCACTGGGTCAGGAGAAGTTCAAGTTAGTAATGAAACTTTAGAATTTGCTTATTTTATCATAGACAATAGATCCTGATTGGCCATGGCTGGGCCCAAGGAGAAAGGGAATCAACAACAGGTGACAGTAGTTTTAGGAAGAACAAATTTCACGTGACAATACATTTTCACATTCAATGTGTATCAAGAACAAAGAAAAATTAAAAAATGAAAAGGAATGTGGGCCCCACCGCCACTGTGGCACTCTCCAAGGCACATGGCAGATGACCCTTCCTAACTGATCGTACATTCTTTTTTTGTCTCTCTTAAGTTGCAGTGTGATTTGCAAACATCATGGAGAGCAAAAAACAGTGCACATTTTGAAAATATGAAACATAATGAATGGTGTCTTCAACCCAATGGTCCTCGATCCAACCCGACTTACCTCATTTTTTTTTGTCCCAAATGGTGGCTCAACCAATTTTTGACCTGAGATACAAGTAGATGGGTTGGGTCAGAAATTGCCACCTCTACATCAATGTGGATCTATCTCTGCTGTCCTTGGAAAGCCACCAGGGACGTTTGCCCCCTTTTCAAAGTTAAATCAGGTACGGTCCTGACAACTAAGGTTGGTTTTTGGAGCAATTTGGGTTGGGAGTTAGTTGTCTATGTTCCAGATTTCAGACTGTATTTTCTATATAACAGTAGACTGCTTGTAATATTTTTGTTGCAGGTGAAAGCTCTTCATGTGAGGTTGTAATAAGTTTTCTTTTCTTATTATAAAAAAAATATTTCTAATCCTGCTGTAAAAATAAACCCAATCTCTGATATGTGGTATCTTTCTCATTAATAGGGCTGTTCTAGGGTTTTGGTTTTAAATCATGTCAATGGTGAGGTGCTGTACTTCATTATACCTGCAAAGATATCATTTTTCAGCTTAATGGGTGTGGTGGTAGAATGTGGTCATAGAACCTTCTAGGGTTTTTATTTCTTATTGTTCTCCAGAGTGCTAGATTTTTACATTCATCTTCCCTGCTCTATTTTAATGAATAAAAATAAAACCTCAACAGTACACATATCCTCATTCTTTCCTTATTATTTTTTGGAATGGGCCTACCTCAACAAAGACTATAGTCCTTTGCTGGGTGGTAGCTCTTAAAATTATCAATATTTGCGAGATATTCTAACATATGCTTACAACTAGCTGTATATCCCCTCCATCTTCTCCCTATGTGCTATGTTTAGCTCTCATTTGAACCTCAAGTGATGATTTGGATATTTTTGGATAGAACTTTCTCTCAGCTATATCATCAAAGACTTGACATCAGTTAGAGTGGCTCAGTTGCCTAACAGGAGATGGATTCAAAGAAGAATCGCCTGAATCCATTTTTGTGTGATCAACAATGGGAATTTATTAACAAGAAGAAAGGAAGAGGAATGCACAATGCAGGGGGCCAGGGACAAGTAAAACACCCCCACTGCTAAGAGGCTGACATGTCTCAGATGTACAGTATGTCTCATAGATGGAGATTGCCTCAGAGGCCCAGACTGTTCTATATTTTTAAGGCATCCCTTCAATGTTTGAAAGATCAGAGAAGACCATCATAAAACTGTTGGTCGTACTTTATGGGCTTTCTTTTAAATGGTTGATGTATTTATCTTGCTACTTAGATAAATATCCTATGTAGCCTTAGCCCTACTGTCTACATATTTTTTCATCAAAATGCTTTCGTACATCAACTGAGCCAGGGGACTTGTGCAAATTGTATTTTAAAGCATGAGGTGATAGCTTGTATGAGGTAAGTACAGCATCACAAAAAATAGCTCTGTTTACAGCCTTTTGATGATTCTCTCCATTACTTTCTTTTTCTTCTCTGTTTAAAGAATCTCAGAGGTCACTAACCAGAATAAAACTGATATCAGAAGGTTTATTAAAGGGAGAGAAACTGAAAGCAACCCGTCCTCCCCCAAGAAGAGAAAGAACATAGGCAATGGAGAGATATGCAAGAATAACAAAGGTCCAATAAACATGTAGATGGTTGATGCCCCAGCTAGGAAACAAGAAAAAAAGGAAAGCATTTTTCAGTCTAAAATGCTTGGTCTGCCAGTTTTCAGGTTCTCCTGAACTGCCCTCATGAAACTTTGTTTAGATTAACGTGCCTGTAGGGCTCGATATGACATGCTTTATTAAAATTGGTCAAGTGTCATGGAAGATCAGTTATTATTTGGAAATGGTAAATGCATCATTTATCTGAATTTGTCATTGTCATGGATTTTATTAAAATGCTGGAAGAATCACAAGTTGATTTTATTTTGTTGGATAACCTGTTCTACCATTGCAAAGTTGAGAAGGCATATGATTTCAGTCACAGAGTATAGTGCTAAAATGGAGCTTCTTCTGGGGTCTTGAGATGGTGTTAGTCTGAAGTGAAGTGGAAGAGGTAGAGGAGTTGGCAGGTGTCCTGAGGTGTGAGATTGAGCACTTTCATATCAAATATTTGGGCTTACCTCTAGGGGCAAGGTGTATCTTGAGTGCCATTTGGGATTCTGTGGTTGAACAAGAAGAGAAGAAGCTTTCATTGTGGAAAGTGAATTATTTGTTACAAGAAGGGATTGCGACTTCACTAATGGCAATTCTCCTTACTTACTATTTATCAACCCCTTTCACCATCCACAACCAAAAGATTGGAAAAGAAAATCCAGAGAGACTTTCTTTGGATGAGAACAAGATTCATCTATTGGATTGGTGCAAAATTTCCCTCCAAAAGAGGAAGGTAGGGAAGAGCGAGGAAGCTTGTGGAGGCACAGCTAATACTGTTGGACCACCACCCAAATAACCTCTTCCTGTGGCTGCTTAGCGGAAAGGGATTGAGAAGACTTATGACAGTTTCATGAGATGTATCAGATACAGAACTGGCAGTGGGGAAAGATTAAATTTTGGCTGGATTGTTGATCTGACAGAAGGCCTGTTTTGGAGTTATTCCTAACAACACTCTTTGCAATGGCTTGAAGACAAAGAGGCAGTGGTATCTCAATATCATGTAGATTGAGGGAGTTAGATGGTTTGATTCCAAAATTTTGTAGGACTTTTTTATGTTTGGCAATTGGAGGAAGCTGCTGATATACTCAGTAAACTGTAGAGTCAAAGCCCAAATAGGCAGGACTGACTGCAGAAGGTGGGTTTGGGAATGAAATGGTACTTTCCCTTGTCAGAAGTTTTGGAACACCCCAATTCCTTCCGAAGTGTCCTTTATGATATGGGTATTTTTAATATCATGTATTGTAATCTGGTATTCCATCCTTCAATAGATTATTTTACCTTTTTCATCATTTTTTTTTTGCAGTTTCTTCTTTTTTGAAGGATAACAAAAAAGATTCTCTCTTAACTCTATATATTATTTCAATTTCTGAGGCAATATGCTTTATATGAAGGTATAATCCCTTACAGTAAGGACATCTTGAAACCACACAGAAAATATGGTCTATCCAAGCCATCAAATTTCTTAGCCACCTAATGTAATCAAGAATGAGGATAAAAGGAACAGAGGGAGGTGGGTAAGATTCCTAATGTGGTCAGATGCTTTAAGGAGCAGAAAAATCGAAAAGCTTTCCACTCTTTGCTCGTCTGAGGGGGGGGGGGGGGTATTTGGGGCAGGCATAAGAAGGCGAAGAAAGTTTAGAAAGCTCATAAGAGGAGATTGGTGAAGGATTCTAACCAAGATGCGGAAGTAATGGAGTCAGTGGATAAAGATCTGATTGGTACTAGGAAAAGGAATCTGGAAGCAGTGAAGGAAAGCATACAAGTCCTAGCAATGTATGGAATCAAAACAACTGCATGATAGTAGTCATGCTGCCTTATAGGAGTGTGGTTTCCATGTGGTGGGTTCTTCCAATAGAGAGTAGAGTCAAATTAAACTTTGATGGATGCTGCATGGGCAACCCCAGAACATCCAGCATTAG